TAATAATAAACATACATCCATTTATGAAATAGGATAGGAACAATACAAACATTACAGAGTTATGGATAGATTAGTAGGAAAATATCAATGGCTGCTGTAATATATTAACACATTTAATTCTTCCAACAGCTCTATAAAATGGACTCCTGCCGTCTGCCTCATTAGGAATATTTTATAGTCAAGGAGAATGTGAAAATCATATTATTGCTTTCAAGATAAAAGATAAGATTTTTCAGATTTGGGTCTTGTCCCAGAGCCTTGCTGCAAGCCACCTGAGGATAGGATCAACCTTTGTGTCTGGGGTGTTTCCGGAAGGGCTGAGCAGGATAGCAGTGGGAGGGCGGCGAAAGGACCAAGCCTCTTGACACCAGCACCCTGAATGGGGTGGGGGAAGGAGGCTTTCCTGGTTCCCATCTGCCCCAGATCCCATACGTGCAGTCAGGAAAGTGACGCCCAGGAGGGGCAGAGGCTTGCCCAATGGGGCCCAGACCTGGATGCCAGTCTTGACCCCTAACCTCGCCATGGGCCAGGGACCCCTCACCCAGGACGTCAAAGGCGGGCACCAGGGTGACGTCCATCCAGCTCTCAAGGTCTTCGGATGCCAGTCAGAACTGCAGGACCCCAGGCATGCGCTGTGGAGGGAACCAAATGCTCAGACCCGGGGCCGGGTTCTGCCCCCAGGCCTCCAGCAGGGGCTGTGTCTCCTCCAGGATCCCGGTAGCTCTCGAAACAGTCGAAGAACATGACAATTTCAGAATCAGAGCCCCCGCTGAGAGCTGTGCCCCGGCCAAAGGAGCCTCTGGGAAGACAAAAACACCCCGATTCTAGTGCCTGCGAGGGCTGGGCCGGCCCTGGGCAAGGCGAGCGGGCACTGTGGAGACGGCGAGGCAGCTCTAGGTACCTGAAGCTGCGCGGGAGCATCGGCCCGGGGCAGCCGGGTCGGAGTTTTCAAGAGAAGCAATTTTAACCAATAAACCCGGATTTTTAACGTGGGCAGTCCACTTTTACAAAAGTACAACCAGATACCACAAACTCCGGCGTGCAGCGCCCATACATGTGTGCCCTCTGCTTGAGGTACAGATAGAACTGGTGCGATTCACTCAATTTCCGAAACCACTCTGAAAGCCAGCATCTTTCTGCAAAGCTTTCAGCGCCAGGACGCGGGAAGGAAACTCCTGGTATCCAGCACCCTGGATCTGGCTTCCAACACACTGTGACGCGGATGTGGTTATACAGGACGGCAGATTCGGGGACAGAGGCTCAGGGGATCAAGTGAGTCACACACCAAACCCTGGAGAGGGGACCCAGGACGCCACCCCCAAATCCCCATTCTTTTTTTTCTTCTATGCATGGATTTACCTAAAATCCTATGCAAAAAAAAGAGGAGTTTAAAGAAGGCTTTGTCCTGTTTTTCTCTTGGGGGGGGTGCACCGTGTCATTTTACTCTGACACACTTTCATGGGCAAGGCTAAAATTGTGTCTTGAGAGCAGGCTATCATGTCCCAAGGGACGCCTGGCCACGTGTGGAAACGTTTTGGGTGGTGGCAATTGGGGTAGGGCTGCGTGTCGGGTGTCCGAAGGTCTGTGACCTCCTCCTTTGCTTTCTGGTCCAGCCCCAGGCTGGCCCCCAGCCCAGATCGGCCCTGTGAAAGCCACCCCCCAAGGGAGCCCCTGGCTGGGGAAGGCATCCCTAGACTGCCCAGTGCACCCGTGGTGGAAACCCACCCCGACACTCTCTGCCGCCTTTGCTGAGCCTCGGGCGTTCAGCCTCGAGGTCCCTTCCAGGTTCCCAGGGAGCTACGGATGCCACGGCTTCAGAAACCCTTAAACTCTTATTCCACTCAGATCCCTCCCATCCACACAGAGCCCTCACATCGAAGCCCCAAGGCTCTGCTCCTTCCCCAGGTCCCCTGCTAGGGCCCAGAGGTCACTGCTTCCCATGACAGGTCCCAAGCCCCCTCTACCACCCCCCCCCCACAGCCAGGTTCCCCAAATCCACCCTGGGACAGGCGGGTTTACCCAAGGCAGCTTGATTGTCTGAGCCTGTGAGCGCCCCAAGAGATCACAGCAGCAGTGTGACATGTTGTCTAAGTGACAGCAGGGAGAGCTGGGGGCCACAGTCTGAATAACTGAGTGAAGGACAGGTCCTTTGGGACCGCAGAGGCAGGCGTCGGAGGAACTGCTTTGGACGCCCCTCCCGAATGGGCAGCTTCCAGGTCGGGACACACTACTGTGCCTCCTCGTGCCTCAGCTTCCCCATCTGCTGGTGGACGTTAAGAGTCCCCGCAGCCGGGCGTGTGCTGAACTCTGCGTGGCATCTTGCCCTCCGCCAGCGCCCACTCACTGGGCCGTCTTCAGCACCTTGGGCCCCTGGCGGCACCCGCGCTCCCGGAGGGCGGCGTCCAGGGTCCCCAGCGCGCGCCGCGCGGCCCCCACGAACTCGGGCTGCGGCTGCAGGCTGTGGGCCACCAGCGCGTCCAGCGCCGGCGCCGCGGTGCGGTACAGGTCCATGGCGACGGGGACAGCAGGGACAGACAGGTGGGAGGGAGGCGATGCGGAGCCCTGCCTCGGAAACCGGGAAACCGGCGGAGTCCGGCTCTCGGTTTCGGTTCTTCCTCCCCGCTTCCCCTCCTCCTCCTTCCTCGCTCTTCTCCTCCTTCACCTTTTCTCCTCCTCCCGTCCGCTCCTGGCCCTGCACCTCTTCCTCCTCCTTCTCCTCCACGGTTTCTCTTTCTTTCCTTTCTCCAGCAGCGCTGGCCGCTGCAGTTAGTTTGAGAAGTCTGCTCATTGCTGAGCATTTTCCTTGATGTGATTTCCGCCTCCCAAGGCAACGTGGAAGCCGTGGGCACCGGGATAACCAGGATGCTTGTGTCTAGTGGCAGCTCCGCGCCTGCCCGCCAGTGTCAGCGTGTCAGGGGAGCCGCACCGCCATGGCTCAGGCAGGGGCAGCCGCACCCTGGCCCTCAGGAGACCCTGGCTCTCCCAGCTGTCCTTGTCTTGCTGGCTGGCTTCAGGGGAATCACTGGGATTCCCTGGACGTGAGTTCTGTTGTCTCCAAAACGTAGGCAAGAGTTTCAGATGGTGAAAAGGCGAGGGCTGTGGAGTCAGAGGATGTCGGGTTTGAGTCTGGCCCCTGTCTGGACAAGCTTGAGCCAACTGCATCCTCTTCTGAGCCTCAGTTTGCTCATCCATACAATGAGATGAACCATCACTAGAACCACTTATGAACCATTACTAGACGCACCGTGTTGTTCTCAATACTTTCTACCTAACACTCAGAAAGGGGCGGGGTGTGGCTCAGCGGTAGAGCGCTTGCCCGGCACATGCAAGGCCTTGGGTTCCGTCCCCAGCAGTGAAGGCCGGAGGGTGGGGAGAGACCCACCGAGTATGTGTGGTTCCTCCCGGTGCTCCTCAGTGCCAGGATCTGAGCCCTGGGTGGTGGAGACCCAGGAGCTGGAGGCTGCTGGGGCAAGAAGCCAAGGCCAGGCTGAGCTGTCCCTGCTGCATGCTGGAGATAACAGCCCCACAGGGAAGCAGCCCCGGGACATCTTGATGTTGGATTTCAACTTGGACAGCAACTGGAGGCTAAGTTTCTGTTGTACAACTCGCTGCTTGGTTACTTAGTCATGAACTTCATACGCGCTTTGTTCTCACAGCCCCAGGAAATTAATCCAATCTGTTTGCGACCTCTCCAGCTGTCTGGTGATCGTTCCCCTCATCTTCCACACTCCACTCCTTGATGGATTACTTCCGATTTCCCAAGGGCCTCACAGCCATCCCTGCCACTTGGCCTTTGCACAAGCTGCTCCCCTGTCAAGTTTGGCCTTCCTTCTCTCATTCCTTCCCTGCATTCTTCTTCCTGGCTTCAGGAGCCTCTAAAGAACTCTTCCCTGGTGCCCTGGGCTGGCTTGGTTGCCCCGCCGCGCCTCCCCAGAGTCCTGTCACTGCACTTATTAGACCTCTACTAAATTACCTAATGAGTTATTGCTAGGTAATGCATTAGGTAATTAGAAGGGCAATGAAGCTGCGTTTATGAGGCCTGTAATAAATAGCACTGTCTCCCGACCACACTGGCCCTGAGGACTCTCTTGTCACCTTTGTATCCTCGGCGCTGAGTCCAGGACAAGGCCAATATCAACCCCTGGCTAAACATGTTTGAATAATCGTAACAATAAGCTCAGGCTTCTTTCAGCGTAGGCAGCTGCTACCGGCCAGTACCCATCCTCACCCACAAATCCCCACCAGGATGTTCAGAGCTGTAACTGTGCCCCCACTGGACACGGGAGAGCCGGTTTCACAGTGGTCCCCTGACTGGGCCTATCTCCTAGGAATGGGAGGTGGGTGTGGGCGCTGGCAGCCTGGCTGCAGGGCTCTGGCTGAGGCTGCCCGAGGGAAGGAAGGCTGCGGAGGGGCACTGGGCACCCTGAGCGCTGCTGCCTGGGTAGGGCCTGGTGTCTCCCAGGCAGGAGTGTGGGGTTTGCAGGAGGGGGACCGGGAGAACCCACCTGGGGGTCAGAGGCAGCAGTGTGTCAGCCTCACCCCCTCGTTGACCTGGGAGGACCTCGGCACGGAGCTGAGTTACAGTCAAAGGTTTCTTTTTCCTCATGCCGAGTGCTGAGTAAACATTTACCCTCCACAGCTGGTTTTGTTTCCTCAGCAGGGAGGAGCCCAGCATGAGTCTCTCTCTCTCTGGGGACTCAGAAATGTCCCTGCTCAGGTGCTCTGATTTTCATTCAGCCATTTCCATCCTCCTGAGGCTCCTGCTCCTCTCTTCCCAGATCTCACGATTTTCTTCCTGAACCAAGAGTCCCAACACGGTGGCCCAGAGCTGTCTGCACCCTGGGGGCTACAGCTTGGCTCCCGAATGTTGCTCTAAGGCCATGTGTAAAGTATTGGTCCCCGGGGGGCCCTGATGAGAGCTAGTGGAAACTTGGAGAGGTGAGGCCCGGTGTGGGGGGTCTTTAGGTCTGGGGTGTGGCCTCAAAGCCATCCCAAGACTCTGGTCTCTCCTTTCTTTCTGTTGCTTCCTCACCATAAGTGGAGCTCTGTCCTCCTGCATGGGCTTCTGCTACGGTGAGCCGCCTCACCACAGCCCAGAGCACCTGAGTATGGACTGAACCATCCACAACTGTGAGCCCAAGCAAACCTTTTCTCTTCCTAAGTTGATTGTGTCGGGTATTCAGGTGCAGTGATAGCAGCTGACTTACGCTGGGTTTCACAGCTTTGCACGGCCTATCAGAGCTCAGCTGAGAAAAACACTTCTCCAAAATTCTTTTTTGTGCAAGAAAAATTGCTTTATTATTTCTTGTAGCCATAGAAATAATACAAGTTCAGTACATAAAATTAATAAAATCAGAAAATGCAGAATATAAAAATCACATGCAATGCTCTTACCAAATCTAAAAACATGGAAAACATTTAAAACCTCCAGGAACTGACCAATACAGAATGAAAGAAGAGAAAATGTATTGAACATAATAGTGTCAAAACAGATACTTAGGGGTAAATATGACAGGCATGAAAGACATTTGCAGGGAAAAGGACAAAATATTGTTAGAATTACTAGATTAAGTGAGAAGAAACTCCAAGGTCATGGGTTAGAATTATGACTCTTATGCAGACATTATCCTTCCTAAACTAATAATTATAATAAATCATCCAATGTCAAAATGTCAACTCCACAAGGACAGGGACTTTAGTCCCCTTCATTCATTGCTGTGTTCCTGGTACCTAGCCCTCGTAAGCACTTAAAAAATATTTTCCACTGAATCCATGAACACACACATCTGTACTTCCCGACCCTGTGCCTTGAAGTGCGTAAACACCCAACACGCACCTGCTGTCATTTTTATTGTCATCGATCGTGAACGGGGCACAGGTGGAAATGAAGGCTGAGCGCCACTCTCTTGTCTAACACTCTGGTAACTTGGGGGTCTATTGTCCCCCCTTCAATTGTTCATATGCCAAGCAGTCACAGGAGGGCGGGAGACCAGGCTTCCTGCGCTTGCGGAGCGGTGGTGCGCGGGAGGAGGTCGGGTCCTGGATTCGCGCTGATACCCGCCTGCGGCCGGAACGCTCCCTAGTCTTCATTGTCTGCTTCCGGCTGCGGAGGTAAAACACAGCCCCGGCAGGAGCTCGTCTCCCCGCCTCTGGACTGGACTTTGGTGAGCACTGGCTACCTACGTCCCCTTCAGCAAGCACTGGCAAGTCCTGGCTGCTGGGAGGTGGCAGGGGACTGGCTGCCCTGTCAGCCCCTTTGGGAGGCTTAGACTGGGGAGGGGCCCAGGTCTGGTGGCCACTTGTCTGTTTGTGGCAGCGCGAACAGCCGCTGCGGCTCCTCCTTCCCCTCCCACCCGGGGCGTTGGCTCCAGTGCCTTCGCCCCAAACACCCCACACCCTAAACTCCACCCGCAGGCTGCTCTCCTAGGAACCCACCCGTGACACCCTCAATTCCCGAGCATCAGGAAGGCCCCGCCCTGGGAGGGAAACAGCCAGGCTCAGGTCCCGGTGTCCCTGCTTAGCTGTGTGCCGGCCCACGTCACCCAGCTGCTCAGAGTCTCCCGGTTGTCGGCTGGGAAGAGGGGAGGAGGCCAGACAGCTGTTCCCTTAGCGCAGGGAAATGAGCCCTGGCTCTGCAGTCCGGGGTGCCTGGTCCCAGCCCTGCCGCCCCTCAGCCGAGTGACCCTGAGGAGGTGACCGCACCCCTCCGGGCTTCTTGTGTTGTGTGTAAGGCGGGGGTGATCATAAGCGTGGCTCATGGGGTCCTTGTGAGGTTGGACTGAGATAGTGTGTGTTAGAGGGTGAGGGCAGAACCTGCGCCCAAACCAGAACCTCAGGCGTGGTGGTCCCTGTGAGTCATCCTTCCTCTCAGTGCAGTGAACTCTGCACAGGGGGAGTGAGAATCCTGGGGAGTGAAAATCCTGGGGAGTGAAAATCCTGGGGAGTGAAAATCCTGGGGAGTGAAAATTCTGGGGATCAAAATGATTGTGCGAGATGGGGCCCGGCCTGCAAGCCTACTACTGTGGGTGACTGTGAGCAGGAGGTCGTGTCTTAGGGAAGCGTGGTCTCCGGCTCCACGGGGACATCTGGAGCCGTGTGTCTGGTGGGACAATAAGTGGCAGTAGGTCTCACCGGGTACATCCCCAGGATTCCAGACGGGACCCGTCACGGCCCTCAAAACATGGATAGCTCAGCCAGGCTTCAGCCGCTTGTGCCAGCCGCCTCCAGCACTCTGGGTCTTCACCACCCAAGTTTCGGGTAGGGTCCACTGGGTCCAGAATCACAGGCCTAAGGAGCAATCGTCAGAGAGGGCCAGTGAGGAGCTGGGCTCTGTCCTGGGAGAGCTGGCAGCAGCCTGGGGCAGGCAAGGACAGGGGCACCAACAGGGTCCTGCTCCCGGCTGTATCCCTAACTCCTGCCCCATAGCAAGCAGAGGGGCCTTCAACATGAACCCGGCTCCCAGCCTTTCCTCTGCCCTTCATCAGCAGTGTGCCCTTGGGCAGGTCATAGCCCTCTTGAAGCCTCAGTCTCCTCATCTGTGAAATGGGGAGAGGTGGACATCAAACACACCTGTCTCAGACATGCAACCATGAACCAACGGAGACTTGTGAAATGCTCAGCACAGTGGCTGCAGCAAAACAGGCTAACATGAACGTGCACGTGGCTTAAATGAACGGTAATGTCCGGTAATGCCCGGTGATGCCCATATGGGTAACCTCAGCTAGCCATATGTCCAAGAGTGAGCAGACGCCTGCCCCCTAGCGGCCAGAGCGGTGACGGGCAGTAGGAGATGCTCAGTAAGTGTGGGGTGTGGGCGCCCTCCCCATACTCCAGGTGCGGCTGCTCTACGGGCATGGGGTAGGGGTTGTTCCCTTGTGCGTGGAGCTGGGCCGTGGGGCGGGTACCTGCGTTTCCTGAGCTGCCCATTCAGGTAGTCTGTAATAATGGGGTTTTCAAAGTCGTAATACTCCGTCCAGTAGACGCAGAGCTGCTGGTAGCCCGTAACTAACTCCAAGACGGTCTTGAATCCCTGGGCCGTGTTGAAAGAGGTTCTTCCGCTCCCACTTTCCCAGGCATGGATGGTCAGCAGCTCCAGCGCGTACTGCGGTGGCAGGGGACCCCCAAGCTCCTCCTTGCACTGAGAGGAGGAAAAACCATCAGGAAAGCAGGGCTGCCTAGATTCAGTGTAAAATCTGTTTGTCGTGGGCTAAGTCAGCCTGCGACAACCTATTTTTATAAATAACGTTTTCTTGGCCCAGAGCCAAGCCCATTCATTTATAGGTCATCTGTGGCTGTTTTCACACTACAGCAGCAGAGATGAACAGCTGTGACAGACACTATGCGACCCACAAAGTCTAAAGTACCTACTGCTTACCCTTTTAGGGCACTGGGATGACCTGCTGAAGAGTTTGAGTTCTGGAATTTTTTTTCAATACTGAAGATCCAGCACAGGGTCTTCCCACTGAACCCAGGTCATTTTAAAAATCTGAGAGCCAGGGGGATAGCTCAGTGGCACAAGCACCTTCCTAGCAAGTGCACAGTCCTCAGTTTGATTCCTGGTACCAAAAAATTAATAAATAAAAATTCAAAATTGGGTCTCCCAAGCTGCCTAGATTTGGTTTGAATTTGTGATCTTCCTGCCTCAGCCTCCTAGAGTGCTGGGGTTACAGGTGTGCTCTGTCACACTTTGCCAGTTCTGTATTTTTCCTAATGTGGGTTTAAATCCTGGCTTTACTATTGTCTGATGGTGGGCTGAGGACTTAACAGTCTGAGAGCCTCATTTTATTTCTCAACAACAGTTTTAAGAACAATGACCAGGCCCATAAGGAAATAAGACACCAAGGGCAGTGACCAGCAGAAAAAAAAAATAGTAAAAAAATCTACCAAAAGCTTTTAATATGGATTGATTAAACACATTTTAAAGTAAGGGCATCATGTGGAATATGATGGAATATGGGTTTGAAAGGAATATGGGTTTGAAATAGCACAAAGGAATATGGGTTTGAAATAGCACAAATTAAATGCCATAAAGAATAACATGGCAGACTTGATAAAGAATAAAATAGAAATCCTAGGATTAAAAATGACAATTGTAACTAACAGCTCAATAGGAAATTAGATGCAGCTAAAGAGAAAATTGGTTCATCAGAAGGTAGAGTGGGAGAAATCATTCACAGTGAAGCATGGAAATCCCTCCATCTCCTTCCCCTTCCTTCTCTCTCAGGCAACATCCCCCCCTCACCTCCCTCTCCAGATCTCCTCCTCTCTCTCCTCTTCCCTTCTTCTACTTCCCTCCCATCTCACCTCCCCTGCTCCCCATCTAGATGGGCCCGTGGTCCCCGAGAGGCGGAGGTGGCCTTACCAGCTGGTACCAGTGCTTGACGAGGCGGATGAGGCTCTTCACCTTGGTTGGCCTCTGCTTCACGAAGGCTCTCTGGAGCTCGGTGAAGCAGGTGGAGAACTCGCCCTCTGTCTGCTTGGAGGTGCACTCATGGATGAGCCCAATGTAGACTTCGGGATCTGGTCTATAGGCTTTGGTGACCTGACCTGTTAGGGTGGAAGTTGTAACTAGATGTCAGCCCTTCTCTGAGGTTCTTCCATCCCTCTGGGGGCGGCGGTTCACTGATTGTGAGGTGCAGTGGAGGGGCAGGAGCTTTGATAGCAGTCAGTGTCACTCCAGCTGTGGTCACGTGCCATGTCACATGTTGGGGAATGCCCGGCTGCATAAACACTGGTGCCCCATGACATCATACTGCAACTGACAAGAGCTCATCTCCGAGTGTAGCCATCGCAGCGTCCTATAGCAGCACACTCCCCAAGGACAGAAGGGATGCTGGTGGCCACAAACCCCTTGGCCTGCCAGTTGTAGAGGAGCGTAGCACGTAGCACCCGTCAGATGCATGACTGTCACCACTGTGTGCATTTACTGTGTCGTACTTCTGCAGAGGCATCCGACCCTGGGCCTCACTTGAGCAGAACTAAGTGAGGAGGGCTTGTCTTTGGATGCACAGAAAATGCATAATTTAGTTAATATAAATAAGTAACAGAACTTCCTTTATTTAAAATTATTTCTTGTCATAGTATTGAAAAGGAAGACAACACAAGCTGGAATAAAGACTGGACACCAAACTTTAGTGCATTCCTTCTGCTGAGGTATAAAAAGTTTCCTGTGCTTGGTTTAATCTTGTGTTGTTTGGATATTTATGGCCTGAGAAACAATAAGGTATCCCATCTATATAGCCTATTAGCATGTATATGTGCTATATAATATATACCCCTGTAACATATGCTATATTTAATATAGAGCCCATTAACATCTATAACACATATGATATATAGCCTATTAACATATATGTTATATTTGCCCAACATATATGTTAACTGGGAGAAACCATTCAGAAGAAGGTATGAAAAGACAGTCTCTCCTTCATCTTCCCTCTCCTCCCTCCCTCTCTTTCTCTCTTCTTTTTAAACTTTATAAAGATGTTTATTTCACTTAAAATGCTCACTTTGCCAGATTAAAAAACCAGAGGCAAACTGGTTTACATTTTTAAAATAGGTCAGCCTCTTAGTTCCATTAAAAACAATGTAAATACAAGCAGTCAGTATATCTTGCTGGTGAATTCACTTAATACTGTAGTTCCCTGATCTTTTGACCTTATCCTCTTTTATTTTTCTTTCTGTTTTGGCCACTGGCCCCAGGAGTGGAGTGGGGCTGGGGCTCGGAACAGAGTGCTGTGGCTATTTGGCGTGATTTGTTATTGCTCGCCCTTGTGATCCACTCCCGTCACTCCTCACATGCGAAGATTGAGATTGAAGCCCCTGGGCCTTAGGGCTTTCAATCAGCTTTTCTTGCATTTTACACCGGTAAGGATGGGTGACAGGAGCCCAAAGTGAACAAATCACTGTGTAAATACAAGATGGGATGGAAAAGTTCCGTCCAGTCCATACGAAAAGATATAACTAGTGTCACCAGGCATACCAGGGTACTGTGGAGCTGTCCCGGGAATTAGATCTCAGAAAGGCAGTTCTAGCTTTAACTCTGTAAAAGCTTTTGGCAATGTGCCAACATCTTTAAGAGGAAAAAAAGTTCCCTGTACATCTTGCAAGTGGAGAATTTGTCCCGCAAAGATCCTTCTCAATGTTACTTGAGATAACCGATTGGCATCGGTAATTAGGGTTTAACTAGGGGGCTGTCCACGGCCAGAGCTCAGTCCCTCTCCTTCTCCTTCTCCTCCTGTACTTTTCTGCAGTGGGGACAGACCGAGGACTGGACCACGTTAGGCAAGTGGTCTACCACTGAGCCACAGCCCCGTTCCGCACATGGTGTGCATATGTGCACCCCGCCCTGGCCTAGGCGAGCAGCAGGCTGGACCACGGGGGCTGGGTCAGTATTCGCTGTGACAGCTGCACAACAGCAAAATCCCCTGAAGATGCTATTTTTCAGGCCCTATCCCCATTGCTTAGCAACACGGAACTGCATCCTGTCTCCCCTCTGCGTGTTTACTGTCAGGCTCCAGGAGAGAGGCTCTTCGACTGGCTTATTCGTGGCCCAGGGTGCTGTAGGTACTCACTGGTGCTCTGTGCTTACGGTTCTCGGTTCTCTAGGATGAGCCCCTGCAGCACAGGGCTCGCCTTAGGCTCAGTGCTCTCCTTTTAAACGCAGATCTCATCGTGTTCCTCCCTCCCCAGCTCAGCACCGGGTCACAGGTCCCTCGGGCCGCTCTCCCCGCTCCGTTCCCTGTGTCCTGCTCTTGTCCTGTCTCCTGGCTTTTGCCTGTGCTGCTCCTCCGCCCAGGACACTTCCTTCCCTCCCTTTCTGCCCCTCTGGAGCTTTTGAGCCACTGTGCCCAAGCACCCAACACAGAATCCCAGCCTGCCTCATTTCCTGGTGTATTCAGAACACCAGTTTTGTTGTTGTTTTTATGCCTGCGCTGGGCCTTAAAGGACTTCCTGACAGTCCCCTTTATGAAATACTCTGAGTTTGGTCCCCACTCAATAGCAGCTGTTTGAGCAGTTTCCATCAGGGTCGCTGTGTCTCCTCAAACACTAAATGTCTCAACTATTCCTTGCATTGGTGATTGGGGCTGTCCGCACGCGCAGCTGGGGAATCGTAGTTTTGAAGACCTGCAGTGTGGCCAGCCTGCTGTAAGGGTTCAATGCAGATGATCATTTAACACTGGAAATAATGATGGGCCGTAGGTGGTCAGTTTTACTAGTTCTCCTGGGGCGGAAATTAAGCCTCAGAGAGATTATGCACCCTGTTCACATAATCCTACACATACACCACATTCTGCAGAAGTTTGATGAAGTTTCCTCATTTTGGGGACAGGGAGAGATTAAATTAACATTAATTTTCCGGGCGTGGTGGCACACGCCTGTAATCCCAGCACTCAGGAGGCTGAGGCAGGAGGATTGTTGCAAGTTCGAGACCAGCCTGAGTTACAAAGTGAGCTCAAGGCCAGCCTGAACTGCACAGTGAGACCCTGTCTCAAAAAAGGCAAAAAAAAAAAAAAAAAAAAAAAAAATTAACATTAATTTAAACCAAATCTATCCTGCTGTGTATGGCTGTTGGGCAGAGGTCATAGTGATTAATTTTCCAAACCCAGGAAGCTAAATCCACACACTTTGCCATAAGTAAAACTAGTCAGCTTTGCAAATGTTTTCTAAGGAATGTTGTTGTTCCCAGATTTTGCCAATTTGCTATTTAACATCCCTTCTGTGATACTTTTTTTTTTTTTTTTTTTTTTTTTTAGACGGCATACGAGATCCTGGTAG